GCCAGCTCCTGTCACTCCTCTTCCCCCGGCTGCTCCACCTCCTCGGAGCCAGCTCCTGTCACTCCTCTTCCCCCGGCTGCTCCGCCTCCTCCACCTCCATCGAAGCCAGCTCCTTTCCCTCCTCTTCCCCCGGCTGCTCCTCCTCCTCCTCCGGCTCCGGCGAGTCCGGAGGCAGCCCGACAACATGTGGCGGCGGAAGAGGGGGAGGTGGATGTGCTAGGGTTGCGGGACGTCGGCCGAGGTAAATAGACGAATTTGGACTCGAGCGGCGAGCCGGAGCGGTGCCACGTGGCGTTTATACCGCGACGACGGAGGAGGCATCCTTCGGACCGCCGGGTTTCCGACCGAGTTCATCTGGGACCCCTTGGTCAGTCCTACGTGTCGGGCGCCCCTGTATCTGCCTCATATTTGAAATGAATATGAGGGTGTTGGTCAGTCCAGGCATTCGAGGGCCGTCTGGGTCAAAAATTCATGACCGATAAGTGACCCGGCGGCTCACCCGGGCGTATAAGACGGGTCTGGGGCGCCGGGCTGTAGATGCTCTTAGTGTCGTTGCCGCCGGTGCCGCGTGCCTAACGCTGAGCCATTCGCGGCTGGTGGGTGTGCCCCCTCTCGCCTCTGTAGGTAGAGATGCTGATGACTACCAAACTGTGCAGGTTTGGTTGGGTTGGATTGCCCAAATTACTTCAGAAATCATTATGCCTGATTGGGCTTGGTCGTCAATTGCCTATGCCTTTTTTACGTTTGGCTTCGTCCATGGTGTGAGCTTGTGGTCTCGATCCAAAAATCAGAAACGGTTTGGATGAGGTTGGGTTGACAAAACATACAATTTGGTTTGGTCTGAGTTCTAGCTGATTCATGTTGGATCGGTTTGGTTTGGATCCTGGGCGTGTAGTGCTATGGGTTGGACTAGTTTTGGTTTGGATGTGAAACTATTCCCAGGCTTAAGTATACTACACACGCTCGTACTTACCCAGTGTATATAGCACGTACACGTATTGACCGGGCTCTCATTGGTCGCTAACCTTTATTGACTGGAAACGGGCATTTTTCACTAGTACAGTACACTCTACACTCTATTGTTTGTCTCTTCGGAGTTCAAGATTTGGCGCGCTTCGCCATCACCCAACAGTTGGTGTGTGGAATTTTTATGCGCTGGGTCAGTCAACTCATATGGACTCTTCACAGTTCTCGTCTGAGTCCGCTGACCCGCCGGTGGACGGGGTTTCGATGTTACTACTACCTGCCGATCGAACTGGCGTAGCGCGCAGGGCACTTTGACACTGGCAAGGGTGGACCGGACGAACTCTGCTAGCTCCTTAAATCCAGACGTGCATGGCCGAGGCAAGTATACTACACACGCTCGTACTTACCCATTCGTCCGTCCACTTTCCAAAATGGCCAGGCCAAGGCCGGCGATCCTCCTAGCGACGTGGTGCCTCATCCTCCTCCGGAGCTCGTCAGCCCCAGCGGTGCCTGCACTCCAACCACCGCCACCACCATCAGCACCGGGAGGCACCCTCTGCATCCCCCGCGAGCGAGATGCGCTTCTCGCCTTCAAGGCCGGCCTCACCGATCCGAGCAACTACCTTTCGTCGTGGCGGGCCGAGGAGGACTGCTGTCGATGGATGGGCGTCGGGTGCAGCAACCGGGCCGGCCATGTCATCAAGCTCCAGGTCAACAGCTACGGAGCCATCGGAGGTGAGATAAGGTCCTCCTTGCTCACTCTACGACATCTCAAGCACCTGGACCTCTCGTCCAACGACTTCGGTGGGAGGCCTGTCCCTCAGTTCATCGGCAGCTTCAGCGGCCTGACGCATCTCCTCCTCAACTACTCATCTTTCGGTGGGCGAATCCCTCACCACCTTGGGAACCTTTCAAATCTAGTCAGTCTTGACCTCTCGAGTCAATTACCAGGTTGTTACTCGCCTGATCTTTCATGGCTGTCGAGGTTGCGGAAGCTGCAATACCTCGCCATGTCCACGGTGGACCTTAGTGCTTCCATCGACTGGACTCATGCTGTCAACATGCTTCCCTCTCTGGTAACCCTTGAGCTAGCAAATTGTGGTCTTCGTAACATTATGCCTCCACCGTTGCACTCCAACCTCACATCACTAGAAACCCTCTACCTCGATTCCAACTCTTTTAACTCGTCCTTTGGAGCCAACTACTTGGTTTGGGATCTACCTGCTCTCCAAGTTATGTACATGTATAACTGTGGAATCCAGGGTCCTATACCTGACGCAGTTGGAAATTTGACCTCCATTCAGTCATTGTTCCTTAGCGAAAACAACTTCTTTGGCATGGTGCCATCGACCTTCAAGAAACTCAAGAGACTACAAGTGCTCCGTCTATCGAAAAACTTCATTAGTGGAGGCACAGAAGATCTATTTTATAGATTGCCAGGGGATGAGCTACAGGAGTTGTATTTGGACCACAACAATTTGACAGGGACTCTTCCAGATCGACTAGAACAATTCAGCAGCTTGTCCACACTTTGGCTCAGTAACAACAAGCTATTCGGAGAGATACCTGTTGGTATACAAAAACTCACGTGTTTAGTGGACTTGTGGTTGGACTCAAACAATCTGCATGGTATAGTGACCCAAGACCATTTCACGAATATGACGAACCTGCGAAATTTGTGGCTCTCTGGTAATTCCGTAACTATGTTGGTCAACAACACATGGAGCACTCCATTCAGCTTAACTTCAGCGGGCTTTAGATCTTGCATCCTAGGCCCCCAGTTTCCGGCATGGATTATCCAACAAACACTTGACACTCTTGATATTTCAAACACAAGCATACATGACTCCATTCCTGCTAGTTTTTGGTTTGGAATGTACCGTTGTCAAGTTCTGGACCTATCGGAAAATCAGATCTTTGGCATGCTTCCCACATATTTTCTGTTTGGTGGAATGGAAGCTGTTATACTGGATATTAGTGCTAACCAGCTCGTTGGCCCGATTCCAACACTCCCAATGAACCTCCGCTTGTTGGACCTCTCTGGGAACAACCTATCCGGTGCATTGCCATCAGATATTGGAGCACCCGCGCTAGAAATACTCATGCTCTTCAAAAATTCTTTTTCTGGGATCATTCCATGCTCCCTATTTGAGTTGCAAAATTTGCAGTTTCTAGATCTATCAGAGAACCAACTAAATGGGACATTGGCCAATTGTCTCCGTGCACCCAAAACTTCAAACGTGACCATGCTTAACTTGAATAACAACAATCTTTTGGGAGGAATCCCATCGTTTCTTCAGAGGTGTAAAGAGCTAAAATTCCTTGATCTCGCATACAATGGATTTTCTGGTAGCTTACCAACATGGATCGGATCAAAGCTACCATACTTGGCATTTCTGCGGCTGAGGTCAAACATGCTCTCTGGTGGTATTCCTAGTGAACTGACTAGGATGAACGGGCTTCAGTATCTAGACATTGCAAGCAACAACATCTCAGGGAGCATACCACTATCACTTGGGAATCTCATAGATATGGCTCATACTCCCGATCAAGAAGGTGTTCTTTTCAAAATCGTCCACTTTGGGGTGGTTTCCGTATACAAGTACACTAATGCTTACACTGATAGTTTGTCGGTGGTCACAAAAGGTCAGCAGCTTGAATACACAACAGGAATCGCGTATATGGTAAACATTGATTTTTCTTGCAACAGTTTGACAGGGAAGATTCCTCATGAAATCGGCATGCTCACTTCATTGACAAACTTGAACCTGTCATGGAATCACCTTAGCAGCACAATCCTTGTGACTATTGGGGAGCTACGGGCACTGGAATCTTTGGACCTCTCACGCAATGAGCTCTCTGGTCAAATCCCGATGAGTATGGCAGATCTAACTTCACTTGCCCACTTGAACTTGTCTTACAACAATCTGACAGGAACCATACCTCCTGGCAATCAGTTACAAACTTTAGATGATGCGTCAATCTATGCTGGCAATCCAGGTCTTTGTGGTCCGCCTGTATCAAGGAACTGCTCGGGAACGGAAATCACTCCATGGACTCTCGGAAATCAGCATGAGGGCATGAGTGATGCACTGTCATTGTACCTCGGCACTGGCACGGGATTCGTAGCAGGTCTCTGGATCATCTTCTGCGGCTTCTTATTCAAGAGGAGCTGGAGAATTATGTGGTTCTCATTCTTCGACCGCGTGTGTGATTGGGTCTACGTGCGAGTGGCGGTGAGCTGGGCTTCATTCACAAGAGAAGAGCAGTAGAAGCTTAGATCACTATAGTATGTGGTCGCATAGCTGGAGCTTCCATTCCTACATAATATGATCTGGGGTTGTAATAGTAGTACTACCTCTGTTTGTTTTTATAAGACGTTTTAGACTTTCAGACACTGTTCAAAAACAACACAAAGCAAGTTGTCTGAACGTCTTATAAAAACAAACAGAGGGAGTATTTCACATTTCTTGTCCGGTGTTAATGCTCTACTTTCGGTGTGTATGGTATGTAAAACCACGGGTTACCTTTGATGTGTATGAAATCTTAAACATGTGTAATGAATGAGTAAAGATGTTTTTTTCTTTTTTGAGCTGGAACGAATAAAGATGTTGATCTCTGTAGTATGACTGATTATTTATCTGGAAGAGGGAAAGGCGCCTTGCTAAGAAGAAAGCGTATAGCAGACAGGCGCGACGTGGCCGCCCTCCACGCCGCGCGCCCTCTTGGCATGTCAGGTCGGTCGGCACGGCCTTCTAGACAAATCCAGAGTATCGCCGTCGTCTCATCCTTCGCTGCTACTCTCGTGAGACATTGGCACTTGGCTACGCTCCGCAGTTCGCGACCAGCTAGCCCGCCACCAGCCTCCGGCCATGGCCGCGCCCCGCCCCACCGTCCTCGTCACCGGCGCCGGCGGCCGCACAGGTACCTTTCCCTCCCTCCCCGCCTGTTTCTCCGACCAAAACCCGACCAATTCGCCTGCCACGGCGGGGAATTCCGGTCCGCGACAGCGTCACAAGAACTGCCCCTGATGCTCGAATCGATCGCAGGACAAATCGTGTTCAACAAGCTCAGGGAGAGATCCGACCAGTTCGCGGCGAGGGGCCTGGTGAGGTCGGAGGAGAGCAAGCACAAGATAGGGGGAGCCGACGACGTCTACGTCGCCGACATCAGGGAGGCGGACCACCTCGCGCCCGCCGTCCAGGGCGCCGACGCGCTCATCATCCTCACCAGCGCCTCCCCCAAGATGAAGCCTGGGTTCGACCCCACCAAGGGCGGCCGGCCCGAGTTCTACTACGAGGACGGAGCCTACCCTGAGCAGGTTGGGTTTCCCTTTCTGTACTGTATTCGCCCCTCTTTGGATTCAGGTTGCGCCGCTCCCATCAAGCACAGTTTCAGTATATGTGTGTTCTGTGTCTCAATGACATATCCTGAAACTCAACTTAGTCCAAGTCCTTATGGGTTAGTATTATATAGTGATGAATTTTGGTATGGATGTGTGTCAGGTGGATTGGATTGGCCAAAAGAATCAGATTGATGCTGGTAAGCATTCGTCTTGGTTCTGCATTTTATATGTGCATAACTTTATCTGGATGTCTGTTGACTTGGATTGTGTGTTGGGCAGCCAAAGCAGCCGGTGTGAAGCACATAGTGTTGGTGGGATCCATGGGGGGGGACGAATCCCAACCACCCACTCAACAGCCTTGGCAATGGCAACATACTGGTAAGTTCTTCGCGATGAGTCTATAAGTCTGTTCACATTTACTTCATTACAGTTCAATTGCTCTAGCTTTCACAAAAAACTTTACTACCTCGAACGCCTTAGTGCTATTCTCTGAACATTGATTGGCGGCAGATGAGATGAGCCAGCTGCCTCAGAAGTCTGAAGGATTGTTCATCACAGAAATGTTCAATTGCTAGGTTTCTAAGTTCTAACTACTGACAGGTTCGCCATAGAAATGTTCAGTCGATAGATGTCTAACAGTTACTCCCTCCGTTCCGAATTACTCGTCACAGAAATGAATGTATCTAGATGTATTTTAGTTCTAGATACATCCATCTCTGCGACGAGTAATTTGGAACGGAGGGAGTAGATCCATAATACAGGAAAAAACCTTTCTGAATATTAAGTTCCTGTCGTAGCTAAAATTTAGAAGTTCTGTATTCTCTCTATTGGCCTGGAATGTTCATCTCAGAAGTCTTGCTTTTGTTTTGTTTTCATCGAAGCTTTATTTTGTCTCATCCAAATAAAGCAGCGGAGGAAAGATAGAAATAAAAGATACAGTGCTTACTCAGCTAGTCGTGGTACCGTTGATCTAATAATCCACTGAGACAAATTCGTTTTGCAAATTCAGACGATTTTATTATTGAAATGGTGAAATCTTTGATTATTGATCTCTGCTGTAGGTCTGGAAGCGCAAGTCTGAACAGTATCTGGCAGACAGTGGAGTTCCTTATACAATCATAAGGTACATAAAGAACATGAACTAGTTTGGATAAAAAGGCATCCTTTAGATCAATGATTCTTGAAACAGAGTTCCTCACCTTTCTGAAGTGGTGTACTTCGATCACTTTGGATAAGACTGAAGATCTGCTATAGAAGTTTGGAATAGTTCCTTATATACCACTAAATATCTTCGAATCCCTCAGAGAAAAGGTGGATCCAGCACCATGTTTAATGAGACAATGAGTGGCATATAAAGGGTGAAGCAAACACTAAGTGTCATCTACTAGTTTTTGTTTATCTAATACCATCTCTCTTGAATTGTCTAAAAATTTGTGCTAAATGTTTCATTGTTGGACTGCTGCAGTTAAATTGGATAGCTAGTTTTTGTGAAGCTAGAATAGAAGTGCATTGTGCTAATATGTACAAGAACACTAGAACAGGTTAACTATTCGCTGATACATAATATGCTAGCATTTTCTTCTTTTCCTTCAATTTAGGCCTGGTGGTCTGCAAGACAAAGATCGGGGAGTGAGGGAGCTGATTGTTGGGAAGGATGATGAGCTTCTCCAGACTGACACTAAGGCAATCCCTAGGGCTGATGTGGCTGAAGTTTGTGTTCAGGTATAACCTACTATATGATAATTGCTGCAACTTTATTCTATGGACAGACACTTGAGGACAACCATCCTGATTATATACTTCTCTTGAAACAGGCCCTCCAGTATGAAGAGGTGAAGTTCAAGGCATTCGATTTGGCTTCGAAGCCTGAAGGCGAGGGCACCCCAACGAAAGATTTCAAAGCGCTGTTCTCCAAGGTCACAGCCCGGTTTTGAGTCATCAGTTAAGACTTGAGAGCATAAGTACATTTCTAGCTTATAAGGATCTTAATGTCTTGGGTGTGTATCCTTGTGCATTATGAAGTTGCTGACTGATGTAATTGCACAATCGGTTTATCAATAATGCTGAAAATAGCCTTCTATCGATGCTTGGAGATTGGAGAAGCAATTTATGCATTTTCCCGAGATTTTCTCCGAGGAGGAGAAGTCAGCAAACAATTGAGAATACATTGATACAGTTTAACGGATATGACTTATCTTCTTTTCACACTCTTGACTCAGATCTGATGCACACCAATAATCCACACGAATTTTATCATTTACGCAACAGCTAATATATCACTCGGCAGCTCATATGCACCTTCCATTGAACTGACAAATGAAACATCAGCGCTACCGATTCAAGGAACAAACAAACAGTTTGCAATACACATGCTTCATTTGGTACAAAACATATGCAAGAAGCTTCTGTTCTAGTCAAGTTTAGCAAAAATATCCATCAACTCTGCTCCCAACAAAGGGTCAAAATTCAACAACATAAGCATCAGAATATCAGATAGTACAACAGAAGAGAAAAAAAAAGTGATGAAATGTACCAGGCAACATGTCTCTAAAGTTCTAGCTAGGTTTCCATGTGGATAGGGCGCCGATGACTCTGCCCTTCCAACCCTGCAGCATCCACTTGTTATCTTCGTCGACGAAGAAATCCCTGTGATAGCTCTTGATTACCTTGTATCTTGCTTTTTTCACCGTCTCTTGAAGCAGAGGCACCTGCCTGAACCCTGCCCTGAGGTTCCTTACCTGCCATTGCTTGTAGGTCTCCGGCCTCTCGACCCTCTCCGTGCCCTCGCAAGCGACCACGTTGAGAAGCTCCCGTCCGAAGTATTCCCTTTCGATCAGCTGCCTGTGCTCATCCACCGGCGGTGCGGTCGCTTCGAGCATGTCGTAGAGCGAGGAGAAATAGAAGAGAGCCTCCTTGAAGCGCGTCACGAAGAATGGCGCGTTGTAGGTGCCATTGACAACCGCGTGGATGAACCGATGCGGGTTCATCTTCCTGATCGTGTTCAAGACTGTCTTCCTCGGGCTCTCATCGGTCACCGTCTCGTCCATCATGTGCCGCATTCTGAACAAGCAGTTGACAATAAGAAGGTCATCCTTGTCGATCCTGAGGTCTTCGACTCGGATGGCATCCCACTTGGCAGCAATTGCACGGTACTCAAAGGGAACATCAAACATCTTGGCGTAGTCACGTAACCGCCGGCCTGTCGCCTCTAAACGCTCCGCAGGCCGGAACCCTGGCTGCGGTAAGTCGATGGCGGTGATCCGTATTCTTGGGGGGCCGCCGTCTCTCTTGGAGATCCGCTGCAAGAAGATTGGCCACTGGAAGCCCCAGTCTATACCATAGTCCACAATGTGCACGCTTGTCACACCCTTGGCAGCAGCATCCAAGATGGCTTCATTCGAGTAGAACCTGGACATCCTGATGAACGGGCATGCGGTCCCATACAGCTTGAATATTTTCAGCATGTCAGCGGAAGAAGTTCGCCGTGCAACAAGCGAGCGGTAGACGGTGCTACCGGTGCCGGCAAGGCGAGCCTCGAGCCCATTAGCAATGTAATGCGCCAGCCTCTGCCCGGCATCCCCATGAGGGGAAGAATGCCGCCTGATCTGCTTCAGCAGCTCGCCCGAACCGCGGTGATCATCGATAGCCGCGGCCTGGGCGCAGTGTATGAGCAGGGTTGTCAGATCGACGGACTCCTCCTCCACGGTGGGCACTCCGGTCTTGCCCTTCTTGCGGCCTCTCCGGTTCCCTGACCCTTTCACGTACACGCTGCTGATCTCTGCTTCGGCTGGCAGTGGTGACTGGAGGATGCAGTTGACACCGCTGCAGAGGAGCACTTTGTCGAACATCTCCCGGACGGTCTCCTCCTCGGACAGCGCCAGCTGCTTGCGCCGCCTCTCGTCCTCCGGCTCCAGGTCGTCGTCGCCA